GGGTCCCCCGTCGGTGCGGTGGTGTTAGACCTCAAGCAGCCATGAAATTTCCTCGGTAAAATCAGCGGGGTCGGAGCATTAGCCGTAAACTCTTCAAGGGATTTGCATAAAACTGCTTGGGAAGAAATTCCCGACGCTAAAACAACTTCAGGACGAGTGGGGAACCTGCTTGCTTTTTTTTTTTTTCTTTCCTTTTTTTTTGGTTGTGTTTTCTTTTTTCTTTTTTTTTCCCCTAAAAATCTGGTAATGAAGGCAACGTGATTTTCATTATTATTTTTGGTATCTTTTTACCAAGAGTGTTTTGACTGCTGAAGCTTCAAATATTTTCTAGAAATCAGCCCCTTTCCTTAACTGTAGGGCACTTCTGCTAGAAACGCTTCGCAAAACCCCGTAGTTATTCACGTTGTCATAAAACAATCGTTTACACAAACGTTTCTGGTACAGTTGCCTTCCAAGCAACTTAAGAGGGAAAAGAAAGATGCTTATCGCTTGCTCTAACTTTTTTCTTTCTACAAGAAGCTGTAACGCTGTGATTGATAAATGAGCATCCGTACAATGACTTTTCTTCTTTTTCTTCTTCTTTTCTGATGGTGGATTCCCCGCCGTCAGGTTTCCAGGCAGACTCAAGCGCAGGATTCCTACCATGATAAAGGTAGAGAGCACCCCGAGGAAGGTGAGAAGCGCGCAGTCCTGTCTTGCGATATTGTCCCTCTTAGTCCCCCTGTGAGCCTCCGCACGGTCCTCAAACTGGAGCTTGGTTTCTTTTGGGGAAACATAAATTTAGTACCTTTTGGGGAAGGGGGATGCCAGGGTGCTTTCAAAGCGCATTTAAAAAGGAGATGAGTGTGCAGCACGTTTATCTTGAGTGGCCGAATGGTATTTCAGTTGTTTAGAAACTGATAAGTAGGCCAAATGGATCTTCGCTGAAGAAATAACTATTTTTAGGATATCAGCTTAAACACATCTATCTCTTCGCTCATACCATGCAGCCGAGTTGTGTATGTTCAGAAACTCTCTGCTTTTTTCGCCATAGCCAAAGTCTCTCACTTAATTCTCCTCTTCCAAATCTAAGCACGAACAGACCTCATGCCTTTTTTAATGTACCAGCTGGATAATTTTGATTGAGGAGGACAGAGGAAATAACAGAGTTCGTTGAATATCACTTAGGAAGCTGGACACGAGTACAAAGAATGTGTGCTGTGAAGAACGGGAGATTAGGTTCAAAATTAAATGCTTATCATCACAAACTAAACCAGATCATAAATTCCATATAAAGACAGACACAGTTCAGTCCCAGTGCTTTCCGGGACTCTGTGGCCATCTTTCTCCAAATTAGTCATTAAACAGCCTAAAAGCGATAATGTCCACGCTCACAGCATTTTGGCAATGAGGGGGAGGTTGGCTCGGTGTAGTTTTCTTTTCAGCCTTGCATCCTCTTAAAACCTCACTTTGGAGTAGTCACATAGGTCAATGGTCATATAGGTGGGAGACCTGGTCACCCCCCTTTGCAGGACCTGGATGCAAATTGTTTATTTTTCCTACCAAATAGCCTCCCTGACTTGGCTTCCCTCTTGACTGTAGTGCCATGTGTGTTCAACAGCCCCCCTGCCCACCCCCAAATCGTTCGGATCTCCTTCCAAGCCAGCCCCTGCCCTCTAATTGTCCCCGGTGTGCGTGGCCAGAGTGAATTGTTCGTGGCACACAACGGCTCAGCGAGAGAAGGACATGATTATATCTAGTTATCACTGCCCTGTTCCTCCCTTTCCTAACAATGATGTTGGAAACCCATACTGGCAATACTTCCGAATCCACAAATCCTAGAGGGATGTATAAAATGGGGGAAAACTGCTACTTGAGAAATGTGGTGTCATTGCTGATCGTTCTGCCTTGATTTGAAGAAGGACTAGCAAAATAAATTGGCTACTCTGAGGCTATTCCATATTTTAAGCATAAACTCCTCACTGAGAGTACTTGCTCCTTTAAGAATTAACTCTTCTTAAAAAGATGTTATTACAAATTGCTGCAGACCGCTTTCTGTCAGAGGTAATTTCCATGAGTAAGGAAACTGCATGCAGAACATTTTTGTGAATGCACAGTACCTGTTTAAGTGCTCTAACTTACAAGAAATGCGTACGTGGGGAATAATGTAATCATTGTTTCCTCTTCCATAGGAAAGCATCCAGACAGTGGCTTATACAGCAAGGGACCATCATACTCTGGTTATTCTGGGTATATCATGATGCCAAATATGAATAACGACCCGTACATGCCTAATGGATCTCTGTCGCCACCCATCCCCAGAACAGTGAGTTATCTCTTCCAAAATACGGTTTTGGCGAGCTGGGTTTCCTCCTGTTCGGTCCGCAGTGCGTGTTCACGCCGGGTTTGGTTTTGTTTATTTTTTGGGGTTAGCTTGTGTTACAGTGAAGGTTGCGCTCCTGCTGTTCGGAGCCTCCGTCCAGTGGAGTTTGAGAGCTCTTAGAGGTGTTGGTCGCGATGGCGGTGGAAAAGCTGAGATTAACGTCTGCGGTGTCTGACATCCTTTGAACAGGGCTGGGGGCTTTCGGGGGGGGGGAGCCCTGGTTTACGACTGTAGGATAATGTATGGCGGCATGATGTAAATGCAGTCTTTGTAGTGACTGGGACAGATGTGAATTCTCTGGCTTTAACTCTTCGTTTGTTGAGGAAAATCGAGGGCTGGAAGCAGAACTGCTAAAGTTGCTTGTCAGTAAGATGAAAAGATTGGATTCTTTTTTTTTTTCTTTCAGTGCCTTCAGATATGGCATTGCTCTTTGCTGATTGATGTTTATTTCTGCCATCAGTTGTTCTGCCTGAAGGCTTTATGTATCTGGCAGTATTGCTTTGAAACATACTCTCGATCTTCAGCCACAAATTGTGAAATGTTCGTTTAGGAATTAACATCAACCGTGATGCAGTAGTTACAGCTTTCCTTTACGTTGTGGCGAGCACTGATTCTTCCAGGTTGGTCTCTCTGTTTCCATTGGTGTAGGCGCACGTTTGATGGATTTTAATGGACTTTTAATTTTGGATAGGCAATTCCCGTTATTTTTGTAAACCTCTTCGTGTAAGTATAAAGCGATGGAGTGGCAGTGTTAAAATGAGCTGTGGAAATTACATTAGTAGAACCGGAGTGGAGCAGGAAAGAAATTTGCTTGCAC